TTTTTTTTTTTTTTTTTTTTTTTTTTTTTTTTTTTTTTTTTTTTTTTTTTTTTTTTTTTTTTTTGGAAGAAGATGCCTTACTTTAATTTAGATAATTGATAAGAAACCTGTGATTCTATGCAATACGGCAGTTTACCAATTTGTTGTATGTTTCAGAGAACCTCTTATAACAAATATCATGTGGAGGAATCTGCTAATACAGGTAATTTCTTGTGGCTTGATTTCTATGCTTTTCAAAATTTCTATTTTTGTATGCCATAGCATCTGAAGAAATTTCGTAATCTATTGTGTATCTTCAGGCATTTTATCAAGTCTCTGTATTGCTTGTCCTCAATTTTCGTGGTCGGAGTTTGCTTCATTTGAACCACTCCAATATAGAAGCTGTCAAAGTGAAGAATACGTTGATTTTCAATGCATTTGTGCTTTGTCAAGTAAGCCCTTTACTAAGTTATAACTAGGCAGATCTTTTATTGGCTGATTTTCTTTCGATTCACAATATATTTATCGCTTATTCCTCCCTTTGTTTTTTGTTTACATTTTGAGATCATTCAAAGATATTTTGGGGCTTGTCTTGTATTCAAAACGTAACCTCTTCATTAAGCGTTCTTATTATGTAAATTTACCGACTTATATCTGCTCCTTGAATTGCAGATTTTCAACGAGTTTAATGCTCGAAAACCTGATGAGAAGAATATATTCAAAGGAGTCACTAAAAATTACCTCTTTATTGGGATCATTGCAATTACTGTTGTGCTCCAGGTGAGTCTGTCGTTCAACTTTGCTATTATATTTGAGATTAGCAACTTCTTCAAGTTAACATTTTAATGTTTTTTTTTTCTTAGGTGATAATAATCGAGTTTCTTGGAAAATTCACATCCACGGTCAGGCTAAATTGGAAATATTGGATTATTTCAATAATCATTGGTGTTATCAGGTACCTTCATGTCTTAAATTTTATGTTATCGTTTGCTATAATAACGACACGCTACAACACCTGCATAAGTATGCACCTAAGCATGGAACACCGAAAAAACCTGAAATTCTGCTCGTTAGCTTTCAATTTGGTTTCTGGCTAAAACAATATTGACCTTTGTTTTGTCTCAGTTGGCCTCTAGCCCTCCTTGGAAAATTTATACCTGTTCCTGAAACGCCCTTCCATGTGCTGATTATCAGAATGTTCCGTAAACGACAACCTAGAGGTGGTTAACTGTAAATTTCACTGGATTTGCACTGCAGCATTGGCTTTTCTTTTTCAAATTATTATAGGATAGCAGTTTTTAGGACCTGAGCAACACTGACCTTGACGCCATGATGGAGAGTATTTTGTGGAAATTGGTTTTTTTGTGCTTCTAAAGAGCAATCGTTCTGAGGGATTGTATAGAGATTCTTCAGAAAGTCGTTTGCTTGACTAACTTGTGGCTAACCCAATACGTGAATGGTGGGTGGCAAGAGAATCATCTCCTGTCGTTGTATTTTATAAGTAACTTTGTGATTTGGGTTTGGTTGTTTATGCTTTGAAGATTGTGTTTGATGTGAAGTACACGGAATGATACTAAAATTATACAGGCATCCTTTGAGATTATCGTCTTGAATTGGCGTTCTTTTTGTTTTCACATTGGTGTGGTTTCATTGAAAATAGTTATTCATATATATTTCTATTCAGATCCAATATGTTGCATCTCTGTTAATACTTCTGATTGTGATTCCCAATGCAATAGACAAAATTGGGAAAAGCGCTCATATGATGACATGGAACCCGTGAAATGGCTAATATAAAATGAATACAAATTGAGCCATGAGTTTGTAGAAATGATCAAACAATACTCCCTACGACTTCGATCCTAAGTATACTTCAGTATCTCTTATTGAATGAAAAGAACATTGACTTCGATCCAAAGTATAATTAAAGGAGGATTGAATCGAAGTCAAATCACCATCTCTTATTGAATGAAAAGAACATTGCGCCATTTGAAAGAATTCTGATAGAGATGAACAAAGAAAGGAGCTTGCAAAACAGAAAAGGTTTGGTCCTTTGAGATTTAGAGCGCTACATGTCATATTGCAAAAAAGAAAAGGGTTGGTCAAGTAAGAATTCTACCAAGACCTTCGAGATTCAAAGCGCCAAAGCGTTAAGCGGCAGCCATTAAGTGAGAATTCTCATCCATCTGATGTCTCACTCACTACCTCATGTGAGAATTACGCAATTGGCCCAATTGGAGTTCTATTCAGATTATGGTCAACTTATCTCATATTGGGGAGAAGCACCCTCGTTTTTTTATCCTCTTTAGGAGAACATTCTTAATCGGCTTATTCTTCCCTGCCATCTAGGGTTAGTAGCTAAAGTCTCTCCGATGGTACGCCAAGGTTAGCATAAATTACGATGTGTCGCCCGAGGCCTCTCAAGCACCTGTAGTCAATCATCTATTTTGGTATTTTATTGAAAAACGGTGATATTGTTCCTTTGTGATTAAGAATTTCAATTTTTGGAAAGTATCATAGCCCTCCAATAAGAAGTGTTTAAACTTTTTCAAATGAATGAGTTGAAAACCTGTTGTTTCTAATAATTGATGTAGTGATTTCTCGATATATTTTGTGTAAACGATATTATGATGAGTGCATTTTTCTCACTTCGCACACATAGTATCATAGTTTAGTATGATTAGATTTGCTGATGATATATCTTGAGATTACTCGGCCATAGATTTATTTGTTGTACTTGTTGAGAATACCCTATGCCAATATGACTAATGGTTTTTATCAGCCAATGCCTGTTCTATTTCTAAAATTTCTTCATTTAGTTCTCAAGAGTTGGCAAAATTATTCACAATTTAATTGTTTTACTAGACAATCTTATCAATTATTACACATCACCTTTTGTAGTTGTACATGGCTAGACAGTGAGGTTTTTGTAAACAGTGTAATCTTTGTTGTATTGTATATTCTATGTTTGGCTAAGTGAGACTGATCGTTGAAATTTGCCGTCAACCCTTCATTCAATTCGGCCTCCCCCTCGTCTCATCATTCATTCCCCTCCCTTTAAGTTTCTTCTTGGTAATCGTTTTGAACGGTCCTTGATGCTCTTCTCTACTCCCTCCCATCCGTCTATTAGGTTTGAGCTTTATACCTCTCTGTATAAGCTTGGATATGTCAACAACAACAAAGCTCATCAACATCTTCCAAGCAATGCCCATTGTCCCACACAATGTGCCCACCAATCAAACATCCATCTGTTTCCCTACTTGATCAACCACCGGTTTAGCTGAACAAAACCAGTTTACTGGCACCCGATTCTCCTAGTACTGGTCGATTTGGTTCAGTCAAACCAATTCGTTCCGCTGGTTCGTCCAAGAACTATATCAAGCCAATTCACCCCTAGTATATTTGTACTATACAATGCTTCTATTGCACACAGATCATATTACTATTACACAAGAAAATGAGAATATGCTTTCCAGTTATTCGTCCATATGAATACTTCTAACAGTAAAACAAAAATGCATTCCACCTTAAGACCATCATCTTAATAGTTGGCTAGGAGACTAATATAGTATACAGCATGGAATAACTTGTGCAAAAGACAGCTTACCATAATTGGAAGCTGAGGAAGTTTCGTCATTTCCAATCCTTCTTACATTTCAATAGCCATCTTCTAAGCCATAACCACCTCTGTTTGGCGCATCCATGCTGTATAGACCAGCTTTTACCAGAGACAACCCTTGAATACGAAACCACAAAGTACTAAACGAAAGAAAAAATAAGAACCATTACACTCGATAATTCTAACGTAGCTCTCACCCAATTATGCTGCAAAACCAGTCTCTCACGGCTCTGTACCACAAGAACCCTAAGAAAAAAACAAGAAAACGGGGGGACCAGGCGCAAACATTCAAATGAAAAGCAAAAAGAAAAGAATTTCATTTAAGCTAGAATTCCATGGGGGCATAAATTTCACGTACTCAACTCAATGCATCAGAATCTTCATTCTTTTTCCATGGTTGAGTTCATGGAAATCAATACGAGAACAAAGCCCGAACTGAAAGGAAGTAATTAAGACAATCATTAAATGACAAAAATTTGTAAGCTTTGGACCTCTGCAACTTCATACCCTCTAACAAAAAACTTCTAAGTACTCTTAGATTTCAATTTCTTCACACGTTTGACAGGCAAGCTTCTTACACCTTTCTTAGCCCTCATTACAACAGCTCTCCTTTTTGCCCTTTTAGCTGTGGCAGGGAATTCCAAGATAGGACCTGGAGGTATTCCTTTCTTAAGTGCACTTCCCCTTGGAGTAACAGAGGGAGGCAGTCTCAAACTTTCAGGTGGTAAGGGATTATGGGGTTTCCATACCAAGTTATTTTTCATGGAAAACCTTACCTTCTTAACACTCTTCTCTCCACTTTTCACAGCCGTATTTCCTTCAGCGTCTACTTCGCTAGGAAGTACTACATCATGTTTCTGCAGCCCATCAACATTCTTTGCTCTCTTTCTTTTCTTGACCGAGCCATTGGTTGATACTACAGGGCTCACAACATTGACTCCAAACTCAGCTTCAGAAGCAACCCTCTCAAATTGCATCTGAAGGTTTGATATCACAGATTCATCCAAGGCTATCATATTTCCATCACTAATCTGTTCATTATTAGAATTCTCACCGTTAGAAGCAACTATATTCTCATTGTCCTTATTCACAGTAGTATTTTCAGAAACAAGATCAGAACTACCGTTTGTGGTCTTCTTTGTTTTCTTCTTGCCACTGCCATCAGTGGCCTTTTTATTCTTCTTTTGCTTTTTAAGTGGCTTGTCAGTGGATTCAGCAGTAAGATCAACATCAAGCATGGAAATTTCTGAAGGAGTGGCCTTTTTATTCTTCTTTTTCTTTTTATGTGCCTTATCAGTGGATTCAGCAGTGATATCAACATCAACAACGGAAATTTCTGAAGGTGCTTCTCCTTCACTGGAAACAGGAACTAAAGTAGGCACTTCATTCACGTCTTGTTCTTGAAGATCTGGAAACGAAATCTCAATCCCCGATGAGATAATATCTTTCTCCAACTTCTGATACTCTTCATGCATGGAAAACAGTACCTTTCTATTCCCTTGACAGCAATCAGGTGAAGAACCCAATTCATAAAATGTAGTTGAGAATAAGTTTGTCAATGAAATTGAACCCAACACAACCATATCATCACCAGAATCAACATCCTCTCCACATTTTCGACGCTCAAGTAATTGCTTCCCCATTTTAAGAATCACATCAAAAAGATTAGACTTAATTTTTCCCAACAACACTTTATCTGACAGCTTAGCCATGGAATAAATGAATGGCTTGAACAGAATATCAATAACATCCTTCTGAAGAGGAAGAAACGGCCTAAGCTCCTCAAGAAACACAGAAGCAATTTGGTAATTAACACCACTCCCATGAAACTTATCATCAGTGAAAAAAACCCTTTCTTCCAAAACTTGAACCGAACGACGACATAGTTCCAAATCCCAGGAATGCTTCTTCAAAAAAGCAAAAAACTGGTGCAAAAATCTACGAATCAAAAGGTAAAACTTATCTAACCTGAGCGCATCAATGCCGGCCCATTCACGACGCATGGTGAGAAGAAAAACAGAGAAGTATTGAACAGCTAGCGGGAGGTCGAGATGGAGAAGCAGGGAAGCGAGACGATTAATAAGCTCAGATTGAACAGGAGCCTTGTCCGCATGCCAAACACAGTAGAACAAACCCTTCCAAAGCTTCTTCATATCGCCATCGGAGAGGCTCGTTTGAGTCGGAAGCCATGTCTTGATGATTACACGGAGGGTCTTGTCTCGAGTCGCCTTGTTGGAGGACGCCAGAAGCTTGACCAAAGAAACAAAATATTGATCTCCTTCAACCACCTCCTCCATTTTTTTTCCACCAAAAAACCTCGCTCATTCGTTTTCAGATCAAGAAAGGATGAAGAAATCAGAAGAAAAAAACCTGAATTAGATTGGAGGGCGAACGGCGGCGGTTGCAGATTTTTGCTCGCCTCTGTATAGCGTTAAGAGAACCCTAGAACGTCATTTGGTGGGTTTGACTCGGAGCCGTTCGTATTCCGAGAAAACAAAGCATCTGTTTCATTACAATCTTTTTTAAGTTTGTGTTTATCTTAATTTAATTTTGAATTTTTTTTATCTTTTAAAATTGTATTATATAAAATTCAAATTTTTATTTAATATATTAATCCGTTTTTTAAAATTAATTAAACTAAAATATAAAATTAAAATTAGAAACTTAACCGACACTTTTAACAAATTTTGAGATGAAATGACATAAATGAATTTATATACAAAATTTGCAATTTAAGCTTAAAAATAAAATAAAATAAAATATTAAATATTTATTAATCCAATTGATTGAATAGGATACTCACCCTTATTCATTCATATGTCTTCACATGAACGATTTGTATCAAATCATTTATAATAATTTCAAAGTTGATCATATGAATATGGTTACGAGGATAAGGCACCCAACATTATCCATATACTATAAACCATTTAGGTTATTACTTGAACACAATCATCTTATACGTCAACCACATAGTGCTCAAGATTACGTTAAAAATTTATTCTTAAAAATTAAATAATTAATTACGAGGTTTTAAGGCATAAATCTCAACATCAACACTCACTTTATAAACCAACTAAAATATAAAAGTAGCATGAATAATTATAAAATATACAATAAGCAACCTACTTATAGGCTCTAATCGAATTCGGTAAGTCGATTTATCATGTGCTAGGTCACTTGCCTTTTTGTTCAACTAACCTTGGGTTCATAACGTCTGATTTGACTCTTTGTTCATACTTTCTCTTTTGAACTCACTTTGCACAATACTCTAATCCCTTAGGGCATGTATAAACCGTCTGGGTCTTGGGCTTGCTTAGGTTAACCCTACGAAAATGTCGTTACCTATGTCACTCTCCCACATGTCAAGTATCTATGAGGTACAACTTTCAACTACTTCCAGCAATCGAAATGCTAAGACATTTATGAGAAACATTGTTCGATATTAGTCAAGTATAAGATATTTGTCGGTGACTCCCTAATAGGCCACATAATGTCATCTGAACTTGCCCCTCATGCTTGTCTAGTTATACCCTCGTGTGGTCGCTCACTCATGTGGATGAGTTTCCCATCTAAAAGATAGATGAGGATGTCTTGATTGTATCCACATGAGGTCTCTCTATGACACACTGTATTTCAAGGCAACTTCGTCCTACAACTTGCAAGGAGTGAGATCCCCATAGCTATTGTCACCATAAAAACTCTTGCCCCTCCTCGGAGCAAGTTCACAATTAGAAGTGAGTTGACGAGCCCCCTAATTGCCCCATATAGTAACCTGTTGAACTACTAAATACGGCCTCCTGATGTCCTAGTCCCCTAGAGACTAAAGGGTATTGCCTCGATCAAGTATTGATCTTATGGTCAAAACTACTCATCGCCTTAATATTCCTTTATAAACCTAATATTGTTTACTAGGCTCGAGGTTTTGGAAGTAACAAGTCCTTCTGGGCAACTAAACTTAAAGATCAAAGAGTAGTTTGTGAAGTTGCACACGTAGCCTAATTAAGCTTTCTATCCAATTCCGAGGAGTTCGTCTACAATAAAAACTAATAGTAGGTTAAAAGTTCTAAATGCAACCTAACATAAATACGTAATTTATAGGCTAAAACATGCATGATTCCATACATAAGTTCACTACATGCTCATGCTATTTCGAGTTAGTCTTACATATGCAAAAAAATTTGAAATGGCTACTTCATGTCATGGAAACCACGCCAGCTCCACTCAATAGTTCATATGAGTAAACAACATCCAAAACGCATCTTCAAATAAGAAAAACAATAGAAGAAGGATGAACAAGAATGTTCTTAAAAATTTCGAAAATGGTGAACAACTCCCTCACTCTGCCTGGGAGACAGACGCAAGAGATACCGTGAATTTGGCTAAATCCGAACTTTGTTCATCTTTTATCCACCACCCATTTGCAGATCACACACTGAAACCTTCCTCACTTTGCTCCTCCAATGGCGTTTTCCTCTCTCCCCAATTATCGCTTCGCCTTCGCCCCCATTTTCTTCCTCCTCTTCCTCTGTTCCTTTATCTTCTTCACCAAACGAAACGCCGACGTTTCCTTCTCTCTCTACCAAGATCTCTCCACCCAAACCCCATTTACCGTCTCTCTTGCTCCTCCTCCTTTAATAGCCGAACCCCAGATTTCTTTTCCCGATTCTGGGTCTGGTTCTTCTGGCATTGAATCCTTAACGAACCCATCTGCTCAAGAAACAGAGTTTTCTAATGATCAAATTGAGGATCGGCTCTCTGTTAATGGCGAAAATGGCTCGGTTTCTGATGGTGATGTTGCTGTTGGTTCTATGAGGGCTGATGATGGTCCGGATTTGTCAGTGGAGGGGCTGAAGCAATGTGATCTTTACATGGGAAGCTGGGTTAAAGACGAGGAACATTATCCGGTTTATCGAGTGGGTTCTTGCCCCTATGTTGATGAGGCTTATGACTGTGGGAATAATGGGAGAAATGATTCTGAGTATACGAAATGGCGATGGAAGCCTTATGGCTGTGATCTTCCGAGGTATGTGCTTCTATAGTTGTTTTTGTAGATGCGTTTGTGTGGATATATCATTCTTTGCCTGCACAATTTGATGTCGAAATGAGGAACGTATGTTCATTATTTTTTGCTGGACATGTTATTTAGAACACATTTGAAGCAGAGAACATAAGATTTCACCTGTTTTTGGATCACAATACGACATAGCTAAGTACTTAATCATTACCAAATGTGCTGCTAGTGGAACAAAATTTCTTTGTCGTTTTCATTCTAATTGTTACTTGTTATTCTTTTTATGAATGGTAGAGAAAGAAAATGAATAATAGTAATAGTAATAAGTGCATTCAGAAAACAAAGCCTACAAAAGGGATCTGAACTACAAAAAGGGGCTTCAACACTGAACCGAATTGAAGGGGCGATTGTAATGAACCTCTAAGTCTTTTTGCAATGATCCTGTAAGGGGGGTTTGCAATCTAGTAAATAAGACTTAGAGGATCATTGCAAAAAGACCTCAACACCGAACCGAAGTCGAAAGAGAAACATAGAATCTAACTAGGGACCAAACATCACTAGAAGATCTCTCCCAACCCCTAAAGATTCTATTATTCCTCTCAAAATAGCACACACCCGAACTTGCCACGAAATGAATCCTTTCTCACGGGAAGACAAATGGTGAAGAAGTTCCTCAATCATCTCTAACTCTGAGAGCTGACAAGTGGAAGTCAAACGTCTAAAAGAACTACTCTAAACAACATCCACAAAATCACATCTCTAGAGAATATAATGGAGATCCTCTATCGCTCTTCTACAAAGAATACAACAAAGTGACTCAACTTAGATAGACCCCTTGCCCATGATCTGATCCATCCATGGTGTTAACTCTTTCGCGCATAACGTGTCACATGAAGGATGTAACCTTCTTGGGAATCTTCACCTTTCGTACAAAGGAAAAAATAGAACTATTCAACAGGGAAAAAATGTAGCCAAACATCAAAAGAAGAAGCTGTAGGAAAAGCCTTTGGATGGAGGAGGAGTCCAGAGGTGAACATTCACATTACTGAGGCTAACGCAAAACTACCTGAGTAAAGACAACATAGCTAGAACATTCATCCCTTCCCTATCGGTCAATTGATGTCGGAACCTCCAACAAGGGAGAGGGAAAGCTCTCATAATGAGAAGATTGAAGCCACCGATGGATTCCTCAAGACGACTGATATAACTAGGGAAGCTTGAAGCATGTGTGTCTATCCTTAAACAGCCTATCCTCCCAAAAGTAAGTATTCCTCCCATCTTCCACAACACACTAAACAAACTAGGAAAGAAAAGGAAGCTCAGCCAAAATAGCCTAGAAGTCCCTCTTAACTCCACCAATGATCCATTTAAAAGGATGAGGACCCTACTTGCCAACTATGATGACATTGCATGGGATTTGAAATGCTCCTCATGCTGCAAAATGAAAGTTTTGGGACAACGTCAGGTGCATCTTCATGTAGCGAATAACTGACTTTGAATGCAACTTTGAGTATATTGTTGCTTCTAAGAAGCTATTCTAATAGAAAGTCCACTATAGAATTGGGAACATATCAGGCACCTTCTCCTTATTCAAAGTGTGAGACATAAAACCTACACCTACAATTTTTTTTTCTTAATTAGCAGCACTATGCTCAATAAGGTGCCTGATTGTGTTCAACCATTCCGGCAACACACATTTTTCTTACTAGCCTCTTTATTTCATTCTATTGGGTCTGTAGGTAATAATATTAATGCCAATATAGAGTTGATATGCCTTCCATTAGAACTCCTGACCACGAGTTGTGGAGGTGGTATTCTCGTTGGAATGTTAAAGTCGTCCATGTATTGGCCGACCAACTCATTAATTCCTTCGTATTCTTCACTACCGAAGTGCATACAACAATACACTTGTCCTAGGGTCTTCGTATAACTCATTAATTCCTTCGTATTCTTTACTACCGAAGTGCATACAACAATACACTTTGTCCTAGGGTCTTCGTATAGCGTCACATGATTCTTTCCTACCTTCAACCTCATGGTAGGGGTCTTGGAGTTTACTTGTATGCTATGTTCCATAGGAGGAAGTTGTCTACAACCTCCAAAGTTAGGTAATGATAATAGCACTCTCTTGCATAGTCCTCTACCTCTGACTGTATTACTTGATTTGCAAAGGATTCCGTACTCACTTTTGTTGTCCTATGACAACCCAAGCTCGTGCCACTCTTGCACTATAAAGTTTTGGGAACCACTACAATCGGTCACAATAGTTTTGAATTCCTCTCTAAGAGTGCATCACCAATTTCACGGTGTGAGAATAGGGAATTCCACTGATTGTGTTCAAGCTTTAGCGTTGAAGAATCTTCTGAGGTGTACACATAAGCTTTACCGATAACCATCACCAATTTGTTGGCTACTTTTGGTGTAGCCCCAAGGAGGGGAAGTTTTTCCCTCCTCGTAGTGTGTGTGGGAGTTTCGTGTGCTTTGGATTGGTTGGATGACTATCTTCCATCCTATATTTTTGTATTTATGTTTGCTTGTCTGATGCTTTATTTCTTACTTAAAAAACAAAAAGAAGCCATTGAGTATTTTACATGTGTACTAAGAAAAGTATCATCTTTTCACTTGTAGCTCAGATTTAATGCAACCGACTTTTTGGTGAGACTGAGAGGGAAAAGATTGATGCTCGTTGGAGATTCTATGAACAGGAACCAGTTTGAGTCGATCCTTTGTCTCCTTCGAGAGGGCCTTCGGGATAAGAAGAGAATGTTTGAAACCCATGGCTATAAAATAACCAAGGGAAGAGGTTACTTTGTCTTCAAGTTTGAGGTAATAAAAAAACGTTCCTGCCATTTAATATAGATTTCTTCTCTTGAATATAACTTCTTTGGCATAATGATCTGTGTTACCAGCATTTAGTTTGGTGAAACGATTCGTTTGTATTTATCAGAACGTTCTCAAGTTCAAATCTGCTTGTCTTTATCTTCAGAGGGGTGGTTGTTGGCACCATAATTAGTAAATATTTCCGCACATGCTTTATTCTCGACCAGTTTTAGTGCTATAAATTACTACCTGTCATTTAGTCTTGCTTTTGTGTCTTGCAAGTATATAACTAATTCCACAAACATTTGGCAGGATTATAACTGTACAGTCGAATTTGTGAGATCACATTTTCTTGTGAGGGAGGGAATTCGTGTAAATGCTCAAGGAAACTCAAATCCGACTCTATCAATTGATCGAATTGACAAGACTTCTGGACGTTGGAAACGTGCTGATATACTCGTGTTCAATACTGGCCACTGGTGGACTCATGGAAAAACTGCTCGTGGGTAAGGAATCAATTTTAATTGCATAAACATTAGCCTGGATGGACTGTACCTTAAATTATCATAGAAACTAGAAAGATGATGTGAGATCTCACGTCGGTTGAAGAGGAGAAGGAAGCATTCTTTATAAGGGTGTGGAAACCTCTCCCTAGCATACGCGTTTTAAAAACCTTGAGAGGAAGCCCGAAAGGGAAATCCTAAAATTACAATATCTACCGACTTTGATTAGTTCTATAATCCTTAAAAATGTTTAAATAACTTTTGAATCTTATTTTAGTCCCTAAACTATCATATTATTATATATTTTAGTACATTTTTCAAGTGTTCAATCTTAGTTTATAGAACTTTGGATTAAACTGATTTCTTGGTGTGGTTTACTGATACAATTAGATGATGCAGGAAAAACTATTATAAAGAAGGTGACGTTCTTTACCCGCAGTTTGATGCTGTCGAGGCTTACAGACGAGCACTCAAGACGTGGGGAAACTGGATCGATAATAATATAAACCCAGCTAAGCAGTTGGTCCTCTATAGAGGCTATTCTTCTGCCCATTTCAGGTCCCATTTTCTATGCCCTCTTCTTTTGAAACACCTTTTCATCATTCACTTGTTTGGTTGTTATCCAAATTCATGTGGAAAGGGATGGATATAACTATTCCAAATTCCCTATATACTTGTACATTTATATGTTGAACTCTATAAAACAGAGGTGGAGATTGGGATTCAGGAGGGTCATGCAATGGCGAAACCGAGCCCGTCTTAAGCGGTGCCATCCTCGACAACTATCCTTTGAAAATGAAGATAGTTGAGGAAACGATCAAGGAAATGAGGGTTCCGGTCATACTTTTGAACGTTACAAGGTTAACCAATTTTCGCAAGGACGGTCACCCTTCAATCTACACTAAGAATCGTACCGCTACAATAAAGGTTTCGACTAGACGGCAGGATTGCAGCCATTGGTGTCTCCCTGGAGTTCCCGATTCCTGGAATGAACTTATTTATGCTGCTCTAGTTTCTCGATCGAAAAAATCCAAGTCAATCTAGTTGAGCAATAGCATCGATTGTTTCTCAGGAATGATTCCCCAGTAGTTCCCCTTGGTGAAGGCTGCAGGCCAGCCATAGCTCTTTGAATGTTGACTGCTCCTAGCTTCTTTGTACAGAATCTCTTCTATTTATATTGTTCTTATCAGATTTGAAAGCAAACGTTTTGGTATATTTTATATCTTATAGAGATACAAAATGTAGTTGGTAGGGAGGCTTTAAGGTTTTCTAAAGTTTTTTTTATGGCCAAATTTATATATTACAGGGTGGATCCTACATTGGTTGGAGAGGAGAACGAAACACTCTTTACAAGAGTGTGGAAACTTTTCTCTAGCAGATGCGTTTTAAAATCTTGAGGGAAAGCTCGAAAGGAAAACTAAGGAGGACAATATATGCTACCGGTAGACTTAGGTCATTACAATGATAATCTATTGTACAAACTTGCACGGTTGAAAGAAGTACATATCACCCCTTACGATTTTAAAATGTTCATGCTATGGAGAGGTTTTCACATTCTTATAAGAAATGTTTCGTTATTCTAACTGATGTGAGATTTTACCATCTACTCTTTTCTCTCGGTTTTATTTTTACTATCATCGTTAAGAATCCTTCATTAATTCTTACAAAATTACCTTCTAAGATCCCTCGTCAACGTAAGCGACCATCGGATCATTGTTGTTGGATTGATCAATAGCCCACGTGTTCTCCAGCTTGAAATCCGTCGGGCTTTACCCACGCGGCCTAGAGGTAGTAGCAACTCATGCGTGAAGCCTAGGCCAACCCCACGGATGCCAGCGCTTCAGCCCAGCATGAAGCTCGGCCTAAAACCAGGCGTGACCTATAGAAGCATGCAGCGCAGACTCAACATCCATGTGACTCGTCCCAAGCTGTCGACTCCCATCAGTTTGTGTGTGGCGCACGCGTGGCTTTCTCCTTTTGGTTGATGTGCAGTCGACTCACCTTAGCTGGCGGTAGGCTTCTCCACTAGTTCATCCTTGTTTAACTCAATTCGAGTATTTAGCCAATTAGAAAACATATTAATAGAGAGATTTTTACGCCTTATAATAAATGTTTAATTCCTCAATATGAGCACCGTCTTCGTTGTCACACTATCCAGTGTCTAGCTCTGGTATCATTTGTAATAGTTCAAGTCTACCGCTAGCAGATATTGTTCGTTTTGGCCCGTTACGTATCACCATCAGAAGGGGAGTGGATTGTGAGATCCCACATCGGTTGGAGAGGGGAACAAAACATTTTTGAGTGGATTGTGAGATCCCACATCGGTTGGAGAGGGGAACAAAACATTTTTGAGTGGATTGTGAGATCCCACATCGGTTGGAGAGGGGAACAAAACATTTTTGAGTGGATTGTGAGATCCCACATCGGTTGGAGAGGGGAACAAAACATTTTTGAGTGGATTGTGAGATCCCACATCGGTTGGAGAGGGGAACAAAACATTTTTGAGTGGATTGTGAGATCCCACATCGGTTGGAGAGGGGAACAAAACATTTTTTATAAACGTGTGGAAACCTCTCCCTAACAGACACATTTTAAAACCACGAGGCTAACGCGATGCTTAACGAGTCGAAGCATACAATATCTGCTTACAGTGGACTTAAGGTGTTACAAATGGTATCAGAGCTAGTCACCAAATAATGCGATGCACTGGTCGAAGTAGGGCTAAACCCTCTCCATAGTAGACGCGTTTTAAACCTATGAGACTGACGGTGATATGTAACGGCTTAAAACGGATAATTGATGTTTGATCCGCTGGCTATGTGTAGGTTGTCGAATCGTTAATTCGCCAATATGGGAGGTGATAAGTTTGAATATCTAGTTTATTGGTCGAGAATACAATTTTTTTATCAATCGAATTAGGTTCAAATTGGTTAACTTAACAAACCTTGATGAGATAATATACTATGAGTTTTATTTTTAATCTTTTTGACCTAATATTTACGGATTAAATGTGTATATAAATTATATAGATCAATTTAATATGAAGTTCTAAATTATTAAAGTATCATATTGTAAGATGCAAGGATATAAAAACATGAACTAAAAGTGTTCTTCAACCAAAATTAAAATCCAATATGCATAGTCATGAATATATTTTTGGATATTCAAGTTTAAAATAGTTGAACAGTAATTGGGAGATAAGGTAGTAACGTAAATTGCAAGCATATTCATAACTCTAATCCAAACCATGAACTATAATTGATATGCAATTTCCACCATTGATTTGTAAAAAACCAATTAAAACAACAATAATTCAATAATCAACAATATTTGTGTTGCCTGTGTTGTTTTAGATTACACCCATTTCCAAATTCCATCGAAGAATCATCCTCTTCCTCCTCCTCAACGTCCATTTGCAAATCCTTTCCCTTTCGCTCTTCCCGAGGCCTTACCATCATTTCAACACAAAAATTTGCAGACCCTTTTCCATTTCCCCCATTTCTACCGCGTTTTCGAGTCTTCGATCTCCCCATTTCCTCGAAATCAACGCATTTCATCTCTGTTCTGTTCGTCGCCTTCGATTTCACATCGTGTAAGAGCTCTTTCTCCTCTGCATTTTTCTTTGACGATTTTGTGGGATTGAAGGTTTTGACGGATTGATTGGATGATATTTCGGATTTAGATGTTTTTTCTTTCGATGATGGAGGTGGGTTTGTGTTATGGGTTCCGATCGAGATAAGAATTGAATGAACTGATGAAATTGGTGTTATATTTTTTTCCTGTTTGATTAGGAAGCTGGAGGGCAATTATAGGTCTGTTTCTTCTCCTCCTACGGCGGTCGATCTTGCTGTTTTGCTCTCTTTTTTGTAGTGGATTTGATGATCTTGTTGGTTTTCTGTATTGGGTTCGAATATTTCTCTTGTTGTTCTTGGTTATCTCTTCACTGCATTGTTGTTTTAGTGCTTGGAGTTATGTGCTTACCCTTCTTGCCTGTCACATTTTGATTATCGCTTTAGTTTTTTAGTGTTCCTAGAGAGAGGATTTCTATAGGAAGTATTTGCTTATAGCAAGGAGATGCTGAAGTTGGTTTTAATCTTATGCATGATCCTTATGTTTTCTTGGATGAAACACAATGCTTTTGTGAGATCTTACATCGATTGGAGAGGAGAACAAAACATTCTTTATAAGGGTGTGAACTTCTCCCTAGTAGATGTATTTTTTGGAAGTCCGGAAGGGAAAGCATAAGTAGGACAACATCTGCTAGTAGTGGGCTTGGGCGGTTACAAAGGGTATCAGAGCTAGACACTGGATGATGTGCTAGCGAGAGGGTTAAGCCTTGAAGGGGGGTGGACATGAGACGGTGTGCCAGCAAGGATGCTGGGTCCCGAAGGGAGGGTGGATTGGGGTGTCTCACATCGATTGGAGAAAGTAACGAGTGCTGCCAAGGACACTGGACTCTGAAGGGAGGTGGATTGTGAGATCCCACATTGGTTGGGGAGGAGAACGAAACATTCTTTATAAGGGTGTGGAAACCTCTCTCTAGCATATGCGTTTCAAAAACCTTGAGGGGAAGCCCGGAAGAAAAAGTTCAAAGAGGGCAATATCTGCTAACGGTGAGGACGATGAGACGTTGAAATTAGCTCTAAAAGTTCTCTTTAGAAAACGTAAATACACCTTTTGAATATTTTGAGCTTAATGATGAATTAATGCTCCTTATTGCCATCTTCCTTTATTTCATCATTTGCCAGAACAGCTCTTAAACAAACTTCTACTAACTCTGTGCAAACCAGCTAATTCAATGGCCAAAAACTAACTCCCTTGCCTAACTGGTTAGTCCAGACATTTTGAAGAATTTTTGGATTTCATTATTTTTTCCATCTTCCCACCGCTAATAGATATTGTCCTCTTTGGACTTTTCCTTTTAAGCTTTCCCTCAAGGTTTTTAAAATGCGTCTGTTAGGGAGAGGTTTTCACACCCTTATAAAAAATGTTTCGTTCTCCTCCCCAACTAATGTGCGATCTCATAATCCACCCCCCTTCGGGGCCAGCGTCCTTGTTGGTACTCGTTCCCTTCTCCAATCGATGTGGGACCCCCCCAATGCACCCCCCTTCAGGGCTTAACCTCCTCACTGGCACATCGCCCGGTGTCTGCCTCTGATACCAACTGTAACGGCCCAAACCCACTGTTATCTGATATTGTCCCCTTTAAGCTAAGATTTTGAGATCCCACATCGGTTGGGAAAGATAACGAAGCATTCTTTATAAGGATGTGGAAACCTCTTCCTAGTAGACACGTTTTAGAAACCTTGAGGGGAAGCCCGAAAGAGAAAGCCAAAAGAGGACAATATCTGTTAGTGGTGGGCTTGGGCCGTTACAGATGGTGTTTCATCATAAATCTTCTTGTAAACTTAGCTTTCTTTAACCTTTTCACTTATGATCCTAACCTGCCCTGTTTGCAGTATCTTTTCTTCTCAAGGATTTCATCGTTGCTTTGAGTTTTGACTTGTAATCTCTTTTAGCTTTGGGAGTGGGAGGAGTAGGATCATCCCTTTTCATTTCTTAAAATGAAAAAAGAATGTAAACTGAGCTTATAATTAGAATATGTTTTCTTTGACTGCAGCAGGGTTTTGGATCATGGTATGATGTGGTTAAACCGCTGATAGTTTACCAGTATGGTTGGTGGTGAAGAAAATGACTTGAACGAGCCAAGTTTATCGAACCACCAAGAAACGACCCAGCAAGATGTTATAGCTGTTTCTTCCTCGTCATCCTCTTTCTCGTCTTCTTCCTCTGAAAGCGAGTTACATGAGACTAGGAATGAGAATGTCCAATCTCAATCTAATGAAAACGTCTCTCGTGAACTAGTCCTATACAACCCTTCTGCTAATGATGAAGGAGGTGCACATGAACCTGTATCCACACCTGTTAGGCACCAGCGTCCACCACTTCTTGGACACTTGACCCCAAATTCGTCTAGAGTTTTGCGAGTAGGGGCCTTTACTGTCCAGTGTGCAAGCTGTTTTAAATGGAGGCTCATTCCAACAAAGGAAAAATATGAGGAAATACGAGAACATCTGCTTGAGGAACCTTTTTACTGTGAAACTGCTCGTGAGTGGCGGCCTGATATCTCTTGTAATGATCCTGCTGACATTACTCAAGATGATGGCAGGCTTTGGGCAATTGACAAGCCCAATATAGCACAGCCCCCTCCTGGCTGGCAAAGGCTACTACACATCAGAGGTGAAGGAAGCACCAAGTTTGCTGATGTGTATGTACTTTAAGTTCTTTATTATCACTGCTATGTTTGTGGCTTTTATTGTCTGTACCTGTCTGATATTTTGTTGTTATCAGGTATTATATTGCACCATCAGGTAAGAGGCTTCGTTCCATGGTGGATATCCAGAAGTATGTTGCTGTACATTGTGCTTCTGGCTCTTTAATGTTTGATTAAATTCTTGTAAATGATCTGTGGCCTACATATTGATTTTTTTGTGGCACCCTCTGATGGTTTGTTTGGTTCTGAAGATACCTGATTGAACATCCGGAGTACCAAACCGAAGGTGTTTGTATGACACGGTTTTCATTTCAAACCCCGAAGCCTCTGCAGGAAAATTATGTAAGAAAGCGTCGCGCCAATATGAATGCTTCGTGTGACGGTTCTAAGCTTGAATCTGGTGAAGGTACTCATTTCGTGTTTGTCCCTTTGACCTGTATAGTGCCTTTTGGGGGGTTTGGGTTATAGAGGACAATGATAAACTTTAGATGCTTGAGAGATCTTGGAGCTGGTGTCGTCTTTCGTTAGATTTCACGTCTCTTTGGTCGTATGTTACTAACGTCTTTGGTCGTATGTTACTAACGTCTCTTTGGTGTCGTCTCTTGTTCGATTTAACGTCTGGGCAACTCTTTTTGTTGGGTTTTTTTTTATGCCCTTCAGTGTTTTTGCAGGTTTAGCTTTTCAATCCGCTATTATGCTAGAAACAAACTGGGAGATCCTACATTGGTTGGAGAGAGGAACAAAATATTTTTAAAATATTTTTTATAAGGGCGTGGAAATCTCTCCCTAGCTTTAAAATCTTAAGGGAAAGACAAAAAAAGGCAATATCTACTAGCGGTGGGCTACTAATGGTATCAGAGCTAGACACCAGGAGGTGTGCCAATGTCCGACGAGGACACTGGGCTCCAGAGGGAGGTAGATTGTGTGATCCCACATCGATTGGAGAGGGGGTAGATTGTGAGATCTCACATCGGTTGGAGAGGGGAACAAAACATTCTTTATAAGGGTGCAGAAACCTCTTACTAGCAGACGCATTTTAAAACCTTGAGGGGAAGCCCGGAAGGGAAAACCCAAAGAGGACAATATTAGCGGTGGGTTTGAGCTATTATAAATGGTATCAGAGCCAGACACCGGGCAGTGTATTAACGAGGATATTGAGTATCGAAGGGGGGTGGATTATGAGATCCCACATCGATTAGAGAGAGGAAAGTGCTAGTGAGGACGCTAGGCCCCAAGTAGGGTAGATTGTAAGATCCCACATCGGTTGGAGGGAGGAGCGAAACATTCTTTTGGAATTTGTTTCTTTGAGCATTAGTCTTTTTTTCAATTCTTTTAAAAGAAAACGGAAGATACCACCAATAGTTTCGTCCCATACATCGACCATGTTTATTCGAAAGCTTCAATGTACGGTATGTTAAACAGTAGATTCTCCCTGTTTTGTGCAGTGTATCCAATATCATGGGCTCGTCCAGACAATTCTACTGGATTGCAGCTTGGAAGGCCAGGGCTCTCGGAACTGTTTCCGACTGCACCAGTCGACAATCGGGTCAGTCAACCAGCAAAGAAGGCGAAAAGAGCTGTAACAAAGGAGATGCATAGTTCTCTCGCATCGACCGAACCTCCTGATTTATCGTTAGAACGTTACTTCAATGAATACAAAAAGTAATACTGGTGAGAACAGGTTGGTTCCATCAAAGTGGAAGTGGAGACGTAGCTCAGAAAGATGTCAAATGGAGGAATTTTGGAAAGGAAACTATGACAGAATATGTATATTATCATACCCTTATTGGGTAATTTTGGTCGTCGTGTGTGAGATCGAGATTCGAACCTTTGTACTTCTAGTTTCACTTTCTATACTTCTCTTTCAAACAAATCGACCCTATCCATCTATTTAGTTTCGGTTTGAAAGGAACTCGTAGATTGCTCCGACAATCCTTTTGATGTCATTTCGTTACACGCCCTTAAATTAAATGTTTGAAAAATCAAATAAATTTGTTTCATTTTGTATATAAAAGCTATCAGAATTTTAATAATTAATGATGCATTTATTTAATAAATTTTTGTCAAAATAAATTAATTATATGTTTTGATTTATTACCATCAAATAATTAATTATAATAATTTTTTTTATAAATTAAGATCAATTAATTAATTTTAATTTTATCATTTTAATTTAGTTTATTTTTATTAAGTTAAATTATTAAAATTCTTTTAACTTAATTTTCATTCATATATATATTATAAATAATATGTCTTAAATTTTAGGGTTTTCAATTTATTTAGTCCTCAATATTAATAATTATTTTTAAATAAATGATTTATAAGAATTTTAAAAAAATAATAGTAAACATAAATAATAAAATTTTAAAAAATCATATTAAAGAAGAATTAAAAAAAAAAATGGGAGGAAGAAATAATACCAAATAAACATAAATAATTGATTTTCTTACAAAGTCATATTAAAAAAATCAAGAAAATAAAATAAGAATTAAAAAAAAACAAATCGATATAAATAAATAACATAAAACAGGCCCACTACTCTTACAAATTGGACTCAAGGCCCATTATCTACTCATTTCTTTTTCTTCTTTTTTTTCTTTTTACTCTCTTAAAAATTTATAAATATATAAAAAAAAAAAGTATATATTACGTGTTCACCGATATAGAAGGGTTGATATAGGCAATAATTATAAATTATTTTAAGATTTACTTAATCATTTTTACGTATCTTTATGATCATTCTTATTCGAATGTGATATCAGTTCATTCATATATTCATATTGTACTTGAGTATCACATGTTCACCAACCTTCCTTTTGACCTTTGTCCTCGAGCTACCTCTTACTACAAAAGGTTTTCCCTCCGCTACCATTTATAATGTCCTAGATGAATGATTCAAAATTAAGATTCGACACACGATGACCTTGACATTCTCTTGTATCCTTTGCTACTAGGTCACGCTACCTCCTACGTGTGATTACTCTAAACAAACAAAAAAATATATAGTTAAGCGTGTGATTATTTAAAATGTGTGAGTTTTTCTTGAGCCGATTGGAGCCACTAGAGTCAAGTGGAGCCGAGTGGCGCTAGGACTAGAGAGGTAATTTAAAGTCAAACAATGACTTTTTGATAGATTCAAACTTCTAACCTATTTAATCTAAATCGGAAACTTATATCTTAACCAGTTAAACTATACTTAAGTTGACACTATTTATAGCAATAAATTTCAATTGTCCACTCTCTCAATTATTTTGTTGACTATTCAATAGCTATTAACATTGTTTGAACCTAAGGGGTTTGTTGACTATTCAATAAGCTCTGCTAACCACTCATCCATATGGAGTCCAGGTCAACCCCTCTAAATAAATTGAGCTCAAACAACATTCAAAGTCGTATTATTAAATAATTAGATAGAAAATGAATGGCATCCGATCAAGTTCATCCTTAATACATATTGTTTACTTTGGCTTATTATATATTGTCGTCAGCCTTGCGATGTTAAAACGTGTTTATTAGTTAGATGTTACGCAATCGCCAAAATTCTTAAGCAGCGCTTGCACAAACGCGGTCCACGTCCCACGTCCATTCTATTCTACGCAAAAACGCAGCAACATCATTCTAATCACGAAACGCTTGGAAATCATTGGAGTGAGTGTGAGAAGCATAGCGAAGAAGCAGAAGACGAAGGGCCATCCTTATCTCTATTCAAAATCCAACGTCGGTGCAAGCAAGGAAACGTTACATACGTAAGGTGAGAGCGAGACTACGATCCAACGATACCACGGTAAACTCCCAGAAAACCTTATAAAAAAATTATAGGAAAGAGCGAGACTACCTCTTCCCCCTCAGAGGCCCAGTGTCCTCGCTAGACCCTAAAATATGTTCTTTTATGGGCATTATTGATCCAGTTGATTCCAATTGAGGGATGTAATAGCGCACAGTAGGAAGCACGTGTAGTTGGGTGTTGGGTTGGCACAATAAATATTTTATGCTTTTGGGCATACTCTTACCTAATAATTATGCATTCATTCTATCTCCTTCCTTCCCCTCTTCCTCATTCAATCATGTCTAATTTACATCTTATAATTTTTACGCTACACTGACAAGACGATGGCAGTTAGGGGAGCTCCTTTTTGTTTGATTTTGGAACTTGTCATTCTGGGAGAAGAGTCGGCTCGACCCAAACGACAAAGAAACAGAGTAATATAATCCAAGTTATGGTTATGGTTATGAACAAAATGAATTAAACAAAGTAATATAATTTATAATAGTGTTACAAATTGGGGTTTCAATATTTTAAAAATGGTTTCAAAATTGTCTTGTAGCATTGTATATGCTAAGATTCCGGAGTTTTTGTAGGGACTAACCACATGGTATTTAAGCTTCGAAATCTACTACAAATTTGGCTAATTAAAACATATTTTTCGTGAATAAACTTTATCTTATAATAATTTAATTTTTATTACAATCTTCATCGTTAAGTTATGTTAGCATAAATCTAGTGCACCTTAATAAAGCAAATAAATCTCCTACCATTAACTTTTAAATCGAGACTAATAGAAGAAAAAGAAATAAATAAAAAATTGAATGCATTCATTTTTTTTTTTTTTTTTGAGAGCAAAAACGACGGTTGATGAGATTACTTAGGTTGAGAATGTGATTGGTCGATAGTCCTTGATGTACTAGCTTTCCTGTTGCGTGACAATTTGTTTACTATAATGTTTTTATTATGTATCCTAAATACACGGTCAATAGATGGATACTCTTTTTTTTCTTTTTAAGGTTGTAGGTTCAAATCATGATACTATATCCTAAAAACACGGTATACTGATGTAAAACGGTGAGATCTCACATTGTTTGGGGGAGAGAACGAACGAAATATCTTTTATAAGGGTGTGGAAACCTTTTCCTAACAGATGCGTTTTAAAAACCTTGAGTGAAAGTTAAAAAAGGACAATATTTGCTAGCGGTGGGTTTGGATCGTTAAAAATGATATCAGAGCCAGACACCAGGCGATGTGCTAGCAAGGAGGATGTTCTCCGAAGGGTGATAGACACGAGACAGTGTCCTTATAAGGACGCTGGGCCCAGAAAGGAGGTAGATTGTGAGATCCCACGTTTTTTTTTTTAATAATTTTGAAATTCCATTAGTGATGAGGGTTTTTGTTGGGGAAAAGTTTGATTTAACTTTATTGGAAGGGCTTTGTGGATGGAAGAATAAGAATACTTTATGGGTCACTAACAAAATTACCCACTCAAAATTTTATCCTTTTCAACCAAATCTCTTTCATACATCATTTATGTTTCTTTTTGTTTAGGGAGATAATGATTTGACACCATAAAATATAAAATCTCATTATATTATTTAATAAATTTTACGAGAATTTCGAATAACAACCGTTCAAGTTCTTTATTTACATCAAATCGATTGTTAGTTTGCTTTTCGATTGTTTTCGGAGTTCTGACAATCTCAATTCTACATTCTCGTCCTTTCCTTAGGTTGCTCTTCATTGGATTACTATCGTTGCCATAGCTTCATGGATGTAGCCACAATAAGGAATTACGTTAGTTGGGAATGAACGCTTTATACACATAATAGAAGTATTCCAACATTCACAGTCATCTATGCATACTACTGCCTTATCTTGACTTTCATGGCAATTCCAACATTCACAGTCATCTATGCAGGGACGTTTTACCTTTAGCCCTTGGCCTTAGATAATTGCTTGAATAAATATATTATTTTATGGAACCAATTAAAGTCATTAATATTACATACTATCAATGACATAATTATTATACGAAATTTATAACATAAAACATGAAATAAAATAATAAAAAGCTTATAATTAAAACTTATTTTTATTAAATTCTTTATTTATTTAATTTTTTTTTATCTTCATACAACCAATCAAACCCAACTGATTGGTCAAATATTTAAGTAATTTTAAAATAGTGATGAAAAAAAAAAGGAAGAAAAATGGTTGATAGCCACATTTCACAATATCCACAAGTCCATGTCATGCATATTTGGGACATCACTATCCACCTAAGCATCTTATCCACCCATCAAAAAGGATTCCAATACCTTTATGGGTCCCACCATTTAGATGAAGAATATCCAATCAGCATTCTAAAAACAACCCTCCAATGTACGACTGCCACGTGTCGCGGTAAAAAAACATTTGAGAGACAGCTTGGCCCCCACTTGGAAGACAGCTGAACATGCTGCCTTATTCTTAGCCAACACTTTGAGCCCCCATTCAAAAATCCCTAATTTCTCAATTAGGGTTTATTTATTTATTTATTTATTTTATTTTTCAAAATAAATATTTATTTTTATGAAGTTTCTTTTAAGGAGACAATTTGGCATTGTGTTTCCTTACATTTAAATCTCTCACACACCTTGAGGAAATATTTTTCTTCCCCACAAATATAAATATATATATATATGCATTAAATACAGGTAGGTAGAAATTTGAATCAATGTCGCTATAAGTTTGGTGAAAAATAAAATCAATAACCAAAACTATGATATATACTCGTTTTTTATTTCGATGTGAATTGAATTAATTGATAATTCATCAAAAAAAAAAATGGACGTGAGATCGAGATCTTTTACGGACTTGCCTTGATATTCACGTCAAGCCGATAGACCGTCAAATATAACTTCAAATTTGTTGGCGCATTTATTTTTATATTTATTTAAATTTTAGATTTTCACTAAAAATACAAATATGGTTAATTATCATATGACTAATAATTTTTAATTATGTTTTCTATTACATAATAAATAATTAAATATACAAAGATTGATACGTGTGTATTTGTATAGATTATTTAGAAGTATAATTTTCGTTTACGCTCTCTTCGATTGTTCGAGAATAATTAAATTAATATTTTTTTTAATCCATCATAATAAAAATGTAT